TCTTGTCCCGTAACAAGAATTAAATGTATTTTTTTTTTGTGTCTGGTGGACATGTGGGTGTTAAATCTTGTACTCATACCAGTATACCTATATACTGACCTGTTTTGTCTCTTAGCAACTCGGGTGCGTTCTGTTTGAGCGCAACCGAGCTTCCTTTGCAAAATTAATTGGGACTATGGTGGTAACAAGAATTAACTATGAGCGTAGGACATGTCTTTTGGACTTTTTTTGGTTTTCTTGAGTATAGGGTTGATATTAGTTTATGTATTTATTATTATTTTTTTATGACTTTAATATTGAGATAATTTGGCATGATTTGTAACCGTACATTATTTAAGTTATTTTGACTACGTATTGTTACTTTAATGTTGGAGGTATTGGTTAGTTATGAAATTATGGTGGATGGTTTGGTTGGCATTTAGTTTTTTTTTATTTAACCCCTAGGATTTGGATGATGAAATATTGATTGGGGTTTAGTCCTAATTTAGTATATAATTGTCTAAATTTTGGGGCATGACATATGGACTTCATGTGGTTGCTTACGTCAGTATTATATTGATTGCCATGGCATTACTGTATGGATCTACTTTGAATACCTAATGATTTCTGAACGGTTTGAACAACTGTAATGGATCGTGGAACTAGATGATTGATTTAAGCTGTGAACTCTCGAACAATGAATAATGTAAACCTAAGACATTTGATTTGCATCTGAAATATATTTAGTAACGCAAGCTTAAAGGACCAAACTTCTTAAGGTGAGGAGACTGTGACGACCCAAATTTGCTAATCGTGAATGTAATTAATTAATTATGTGTTAAATTCTAAATGAGGTATGTGCCATGTGATTTAATTGGTTTATACCTATCCCAATTAAGAAACTATTTGTTGTGAGCTTGACTTTGAAACTGAAATTGACAGCCTTAATGGATTTAGAAACCGAAATTGAGTACATGTATATGATAATAGGAAATTTTAGAACCATTTGGGAAGTTTAATTAAAAATTAATTTCGTCTGATTCATTAAGTTATGTTTGGATCTCATTATTGTAATAAGCTTGGGAATAGATATATATATATATATATATATACGAGCTTTAAGCTTATCTTTTGAGCTCAACTTTATCCTTTAGAAAGAAAATCTAATACTCCATTTTAGAGAGAGAAAATGTAGAGATTGAAGGTGACTTTCAAGGTTTTGCTTGAGTTCATCCAGAATAAGCTAGAACAACAGTAATTCAAGACTCTAGGTAAGCTTTTGACTCTCAATTCTTGAATATAATGTGTTCTAGTGTTGAATTTATGGAAGTACTTTGGTCTCTTACATGTATTTTGTCATAGAAAGTCAAAGACATAGTTGAATTCCTACATGCATGGCATGAACTCATGACATTCTTGTTATACCATGTAATTTCTTGCATGAACTTCATGGATTCTAAAGTTTTCAAAAAGATTTCTTGAGCTATGAGATTGAAGAACATCATTTCTTGCATGGTTTTATAAAAAATCTTCAAAGTGTTGGACTTAGAACTCATATATGTATGATTTCATAATTTTCTACTTGAAACTCAAAAGTTTGATCCTTGCATGGCATAAATTTCATGAAATCCATGATCATATATTTGTTTTCTTACATGAGTGTCCAAAATTGAGAGGAAATGCCATGGGTCTTGAAGATTTGAAGCTCAAACTATACAAGTTCTATGAACTTTCATAACACTATAAAACTTGAACCTTTTGCATGAAAAATTTAGTTTTGATTTGAAGTTATAACTTTGTTTAAAGCTAAATATGTGAAGTTCAATATGTTCATGAAAGGTTTTGGGTCTTGAATTACATGAAAATGGAGTTGGAATTGAAAATTTGAGACTTCAAAAATGAGGCAAATTTTTGAACAAAACAAACCTAGAACCGCACGTGCGGCCTAGGGTGCTACATGTGCAGAAAACAGGGTTGAAAATTGGTGTGCAGGCTGCTTGGATTCGCACGTGCGGATTGGGCATCTAGCACGTGCGGTTTTGGTCAGGCCCCCGATTTGTTTTCGCTCCATTTTTCTACTTTCTGGGCTACTGTTTGCGTAGTTTTAAAGTGTTTTTCATATGCATTTGCATCTCATGAACACGAATGAAATAGAGAACGAAAGAACGAACCGAACGAGTGAACAACGAATAGAAACTAATCAAGTAAACAATAAACTGAATAAAACTGATTGAACGATTGAACCGTGTATTGAATTGTTGTGCTTGAATTTGTTTGTTAGGTTGGATGCCACATCTTTAGTGTATCTTTAGCACGTGTTTCAGGGAGCCTCCTGTGAGTGACACTATTGTAAAGTTATGTTCCATTCTAATTATTTTCTGATTGATATGAATGTATTGTTTTACTGAAATGATAATATTTATTGATGGATGATTGTCCTATTTTCTGAACTGCACTCGTGGCATCTATAGCATATTCTTATTGCTATTGTTATTATTATTGTTAAAGAGATCTTTGTCAGTTCCAATTCTTGGAACTATTGTTATTGTATTGATGACCATCAAATGATTGTTCGGTCTTTAAAACCTATTGATTGTTTTGCTATTGGATGTATCTCGTATGACTATTATGAATCGAAATGATTGATAAGATATAACACATTGATTGAGAAATTGATCTATTGATGAATTGACTGTTTTAATTATTGTAAAGACATCATTCTAACCCCTTTATACATTTGTTATTATTCACTGGACTCTAACTCATTATTTATTATATATATGTAGGTGATTGAGCACTGGATTAGAGTTAGCGACGTCGACTCGAAACCTGTTTTTGTCAAACCAACTACTGTGCCTCATTGCGAGGTTTCGAACTATTGCATGTCAGGACTTATTAGGTGATTCAGGTTCACCTTTGTAACATTGTGTTTAAGAAATAAGAATGTTTATTGAGTTTTGTTAACTGTTTTTGGCAATGAAATTTAATTCCCTAACTTTTGTTTTGTCTTGTATATATGCGTTTTATGGACATAAGTGTTTGTGTATATAATTATGTATATAAAAGTTTATTTCTATTTAGGTTTTCACAGCTCGTTGGACGATGTATGTCATTATTGATTAGCTTTCGCCAGTCCATTTATATTGTATTATTGTCATTATTGTTAAACTGGCCTTTAGTAATCACGGATTACTAGTTGGTTAGGACGCTAAGTGCCGTTTTGGCAACTTAAACAAAAAGCTGTGTTTTGTGAATTCATCAAAAACGCCAAACCATGCAAAAATGCTAAAAATCCCATTTGGGAAGACCCAAAAAAGCAACTCAGCCATTTACCAAACTACCCTTTGGAACATTGTAACTAATTAATTCAAAAATCAAAAAGTAAGGATATTTTGGTCATTTTAGAGTGATGTGACACTTTTAAAAATATTAAATCAAAAATCAAAAAAATCAGCTTTTTATCAACTTCCCAAATCGCTTTAAAAAAAGTCAAAAAGCTTGGTAAAAAGTCAAAAGCCAGTTTTTTACGAATTTCCCAAAACACCCCTAAATCTATAGAGGCGGATTTGGATCGTAACAGACATTATTTTAATTATACTTATAATATTTTTTTTAAAGTTATAATTTAAAAAATTAAAATTATATATATATATATATATATATTTTAATTATAAGATCCACAACCCACATAAAAATTTTAAAAGTACAATTCTTAGACCATCTTTTCTTTTTTTTTTTTTTTTCATGAAACTCCAACTATAACTTCAAACCTATATTAAATTAAAGATGTCTTTTATTTTTCATCAAATTAAAGATATTTTCAATATTACAGGTATATCGGATGATGGATCGGTTTGTTCGTTTGGTGATTTGATGAAAATTGAAAATTTCCATTTCAATGCTGGGTAGGGGTGGGCGCGGGTCGGTTGCGGCCACGAAACCTCTAATTCGCCATCTGTCCGCCAGATTGGCAGATTGGAGAAAATCAATCCGCATCCGTCCGCCAATCCGGCGAATGTGGATTGAGCGGATTGGCGGTTTGGCGGATGGATGCGAATCGGTTTGGCGGTTTAAAATTTTATAAATTTTCAACATAATTCAACTTTGCACTTCCCAAAAAAAAAAGAAAAAAGAAGAAAGTATTACAATCAATGACTTAAAAAAATATTACAATCATTGTATGCCTCATCTAAAGTAAGAAAGTTTCAAACTTTAGAATATCATAATCACCGCATGCCTCATCCACATAAAGTATTACAATCTGTGGTTCTTAAAATATAAAAACAATTCAAACCACCAAAATCATAAATATAACAGTAGTAGAGATTGTATGTTTCTGTATTGTTACATCTATATCTGTTTTTGAAAACAAAAATCAACCAGCATATATCATATTTTCTATTTATTATTTATTATTTTTAGAGATAGATTTAAAAACTAAAAAATATAGATAAATAATATATTTATTTTTTTCAATTCAAAAAAGATATTCAAGTTGAAATTTTTTTTTCAACAGAATATTTAAACTCTTTTTTAATTGAAAATACAAACAGAATATTTAAACAAACTAAAAACACAAAGTTTTATAAATTACTAGGGGTGCTGGCGGTTTGGCGGTTCGGTTGTGGCCAAAGGAATCTCAAATCCGCCATCCGTCCGCCAGATTGACGAATTGGAGAAAATCAATCCGCAACCGTCTGCTCGTCATCACACATCCGTCCAAAATACAACGGATCGATTCGATTCGATTGATTTTGACAGATCAATATATCCGCTGCTCACCCCTAATGCTGGGTCTTTAATGTTGTGTTTGGTTGGGGGATTTGGAGAGGGATTTGGAAAGGAAAATAGAAAAGGTAGGTGAAATGTGAATAAAACATGCCTATATTTTACCTAATTTCACATACCTTTTTCCTTTCCCTTTTCCTTTCCCTTTTCCTTTCCAAATCTCCAACCAATCACAGCATAAAGCTTTTAGGCAAATTTTAACTCAAAATTTGATTTAAAAAAAAGTAAGAAAAAATAAAAAGCGAGTAAGGGTTGCACATGTTCTTACTTACCAAGCACAGAACAGTTGTGATTGAGTAAACACAGAGCGAGAGACAGCGCCATGGATTCGATCATCGGCGGAGGCGACGAAATAACATTGGGGTGCATTCTCTCAATCAAAACCACACTCGGAGAAGAGCTCGAAGGCCAAGTCATGTCCTTCGATCCACACTCCAACATACTTGTTTTTCATATCCTTCTCTCTCTCTCTCTCTCTCTCTCTCACTTTACATATCTGGTTCCTTGCTTAAACCCTTGAATCAATTGTCGAATTATCTATGCACTGCCAATTTGAATTCTTTAACACTCTGTGGGTGTGTTTGATCGGCACAAGAGGGCATTCAATCGGTATCGGGACCGCGAAACATTAGGCTTTTGAAGTGCAATTTCATAAGGGATATTACTTACTTGGGTCGAGCTGAAGACCCTTTTGATTTCAAGAAATGGGACATCGATCTCAATATCCTCCAAGCTCGTGAAGAGTCTGCTATTAGGTGACCCAAAAGGCTCACTTCTTGATTTTCTTGATTATTTTCTTTGTAATCGTTTTGTGTTGGGTTTGATTGATGTGTTGGAATGAAATTGCAGGCAAGCAGAGACAGAAGCTGAGAGGATTGGTGTGGGTGTTACTGAACAAGCCCAGGACATATTCGACGCATTGTCTAAGACGTAATTCCTTTTCCCCTTTTCTTTATTTGTTGTTTTGTCTAATGCCCATTTGATATCTTTGAGCTTCAATATTTTAATTACTCAATTTAGTGCATATGATGTTGTTTATTCTCAGTGAATCATACTATTTAAAAGACCATCAAGATTTATACTTTCTTTTATTGGAATTACCGTTTTATGTTGTCAATTCTATGCAGTAGTTAGTATTGTTCCCTATCAAGTCAAGAAATCCCTGCCCCACCTGTTCTCTAGACACTGTAAATATCTTTTTATAATGATGCTTGATTTGGGTTCTTTGATTTGATTTATCATAGATCATATAATTTAAGCCCATGTATGGGTTTCAAGTCTCCCCTGTTCTTGTTGCATCTTTATTCATGTTGTTCAAACTTTTCACATATGCAATTGAAATTGTGGAATGTTAATGGTGTGATGTCCTCAATCCTTTTTATTTGGATGCTCAAGTGGAATTTGGATCATTCCAAAAACTTGGGGATCTGACTACAAGAAGACAAGTTTTCTTGATACAGTATTGCTTTGGTATCTTTTGCCTCTATTTTCTTTTTGTGATTTTGAAAGAAAAAAAGTTTGTGGCACTGAATAATTTTTATTTTTGATCAATGAATGTCAGATGTTATTTGTTAGATTAGCACTCTGGAGGAGTTGAATCCCCAACTTCACCCTTGCAAGCACCTAAGTGCTGCACTCATGCCACAAGGCCATTGGCATGGCACTTAATTTTTGTGATGATAATAGATAAGATAGAGTTGGAAATACTCTTTATTCACCAAAGCTATCTTTCTTGTGTGACCAAGACTAAGTCCTTCAATGATACAGAGCTATGAAGCATGGACATGCAAAAATGGAAGTCGTGGCGGTGTCGGATACGGAGACACGGCGGGGACACAGGGACATGTACATTTGGCGTGTCCCCTTAATTTAATTTATTTTTTTGCAAAGGACATGAGGGGGACACACGTGTCCAAATCTGGACACGCCATGGGACGCGGTCGGTGTGCGTGTGTGAAGAGTAAACGAAAGAGAAAAGGTGTACAAACCTAGTCGGCGACTTCAATTTGGACGACTTCCACCGTAAGCCTCGCCCTCTCTCTGGCTCTCGCATGACATCGATCTCGAGCCAATCGACCTTCATCCAGTCTATTTCGATTAGCGATAGCCCTTCAACTTCGACAATCCAATCCACTTCGACTAGCTATAGCCCCCTTCGACGATCCAGAGCCCTTCGACTTCTCAGAGCTTTCTCTCTTGTCTTCACCTTCTCAGAGCTTTTTCTCTCTCCCTCGCGATCGTCGCGATCGCGATCGATCACTTTCTCTCTCGCTTTTGCCTCCCTCTCTCTCTCTCTCTCTCTCTGTCGACTCATCGATCTTCTTGATTCATATGTATATATAACTATTATATAATAACTATTATTATTATATATTAAATAATAGTTGTATATTATATAACATATAATATACTTATAAGATAATAAATAATACATATTATAAGATAATATATACTTATACATATTAATAAAAATAAATAAAATAAACACATGTATGTAAAATAAAATAAAAAATTAATTGAAACACATTATTTAAAAAATATAATAAATAAATAAAATAATTAATGTGTATTAAAATAAAAAAATTAAAAAATTTGCCGTGTCCCCTGCCATGTCCACGACCCTATTTTTTAGAAATTGCCATGTCCCGTGTCCGTGTCCGTGCTTCATGTACAGAGTCAAATCCTATTAAGAGGTTCAATGCCATAGTTCAACAACTCTCATTCTTTACATTTCTTCCTAGCCACTTGGCCTGTAGTAAGTATCTGTTCACTGCTTTAGGTATCAGTAGCACTATGGCTTTTAACCTAAACAGCACCTGCAACTTAGTAAGGCATTAGGTTACTAGTATAGAGAGGGCTTCTCGGTTTAGCTCCCATCTTTTTCTGAAATTAATTTTATAATTTCATAAACTTGAAAATGAATAGAACCTGCTAAATCTGAGTTAAATTTAGACATGAACCATTGGAATTTTACTACTGAAAGAGCTTAGTTAAGTTTTACTTGGATGGTTATGCCTTGATAAGTGGAGATGACTGCTTCCTAGTTCTTCATCATTTAACGAAACTGCTGGGTTCATCTTAATTGCATTAAAGTTGTGTCCTGAATGTTTCTTTGTGATATACCTTGTAGCCTCCAGATCTAATTTGTAATTCTGCAAAAAGTTATGGTCTCCCGTGATAAGTAACTATGTTTCTGCAATTGATGGTCTGTGATCAGCCTTCCAGTGCGCTGGGAAAAGACTGTCATTGTTGTGATGAATGAAGTGCGTGTTGGTAGTCCATATCTTCCCGAATCTGTTACTGGAGGAACTCCTCCTGCCAACATCCGAGTGAGGAAAGTGGTAAGACACTCTAGAGATAGTAGAATTTGATTATGATGAAAGTTTGATAACATATTTTTTTATTTATTTTTCCAATGCATTTATATCTTCTTCTTCTTCCTCTTCTTCTTCTTCTTCTTTTTTCTCCCTACTGCTATTTAACTTGAACGTGTAAGGAAGAAGATGCAAACTCGGGGTGGTAGTCAGTGATGGTTTCACCTTTGCATAGTAAGATTCAAGGGAAAAGCGCTTTTGAGTGTCACTGCTGTGAGGTATTACTGATGAAGATGATGGCTATTTTGCTTGTACCAAATAACAACACAGGAAAATATATATTGTCCATTGTCAGAAATTTTAAGCTTAGATTAATGAAGAATTTTGATTTCCATATATTGTGTGAACCATTCTTTGTTGTACTGCCTCTAGCTGATATTTTAGTCATATTTTGCTACCAAGTTGAGTTCATTAAGGCGGTTGTTTTGGGTTATATAAAGATCAGGTACAATTTTACTTGTGGTGTGGTTGTATATTTCAAATTTCATGGCTGCCATTTGCAAATTAATGAGCTGTTCTTTTTGTAATAATCGTGGTGGTTTGCCTAATCAGAGTGAATGGACATGTAAATTACAGAATGAACTAAAATTCTGGTTGTCGACCTGCAAATTACAGAAATAATCCTATTGGACGTATATGAACTATTATTCCAATAAAATCAATCTAAATTTACGGAGTTGTCACTTTTTCAAATTCAAGGATGTGATAAGATGCTCATAGCCCTCTTTTGATGATAAAAAATGAATAAGGTATGTTTCAAATGGAAGGGAAAAAAAATATTTATTATTATTATTTTTTTGGAGTAAACAACGGAGTCCATTAAAGTCGATGGGAGGAGATTGAGAGGTGGTGGATATTCCATCATTCATCCAATTTGCTTGAAAGAGATTAATAGCTTTATGCCGTGATTCTTTTTGGTTGTCCTTACACTTTGGTTTTAAAAGTAGAATGCGGGAAGAAGTAGAGGTTGTTTAAATTGATGCAAGACCAACAAGTGTAGGTTAGTAGTGAAGGCTCGTACTTTTCTTATGTTAATTGTTTTTCTTTTGTCAATTCCTCTTCGAATTCTAGAGGTTATCATATTATCTAAGACAACTCTAGTTTTTGGTTAGGAAGAGGAAACATATACCTAGAGTGAGAACAATTGTTAGAGAGATGAGGAAACTCCCAACCATAAGCGACTATAAATCAAGCGATTGCGTTGTTTGTTTAAATATACAGATATCACCTTAAATATACAATGGTCCAAAAGTCTCGTACACTTACGTGAACAAGAGTAAACAAGGAAACACATACAAAGAATTCAAACACTCCACAAAGGAGTGACATTTCCTCAACTTCCGTTTTATGCGGAAATGAGAAGCTGGACAGTGTGTAACATGTTTAGGAAATGAAGGTATGTGAAACAATGATGTTGGGACAATATAGGTACAGGAACAATTACATGCGGTGTTAGAAGTAGAATAGATTGAGGACAAGATGAAGGAAAGTATTCTAAGATGATTTGGTCATGTGCATTGAAAGCCAACTAATGCAACAATAACACAAGCTGTGGTCTGGATGCAGTTGGAGACGAGGTGATCACATGAGGAAAACAAAGAAGAATGTGACTCTGAATATCAACAAAATACACGGTGACCTATGCTCCAATGGAGGATAAGGCCCTTGGTGGATCACCCATTTTGTTGGATTTTACATCATTATTGAGTACTGTCAGGTAGATGATTTTATCTTGAACAAGTCAACTAGGTATTTCCGGATTGAACCCCACGGTTCCAGATTGGAACCGATCCGAACCGTATACAAATAGTCTATATTTTTATTATACATCCTCCCCCATAGTATCTTCTCTTAATTCTATATAAAATCTAAACTCAAACTTAAAACGGTATAATATTTTCTTTTATTACTCTTGTTTGTTGGTTTTTAGTTTTAAGTTGTAATAGTTTAAATACTTATAGTGAAACCAATTTTCTTATGGTTGTTTAAATTTTAAAACAGTATGTCGCTATTATAGAAAAATATGTTGCTATTGTAGAGCTAATATAGCGCTATGCTTATATTTTTATAAAATTAAAGTGTTATAAATATATTTTGTTATTTAATTATGTGAATCCGTGGTTCTAAACCGATCCAATCCGTATTTAAATGGATTGGTTCGGATTGGTTCCATGATTTAAATGGATTAGATTGGTTCCAATTTTTTAGAAACCATAGATAACGGATTGGTCCTGGTTTTATCCCAATCCGGACCATGCTCACCCCTAAATAACACAAGCTGTGTTCTGGATGCAGTTGGAGACGAGGTGATCACATGAGGAAAACAAAGAAGAATGTGACTCTGGATATCAACAAAATACACGGTGACCTATGCTCCAATGGAGAATAAGGTCCTTGGTGGATCACCCATTTTGTTGGATTTTACATCATTATTGAGTACTGTCAGGTAGATGATTTTATCTTGAACAAGTCAACTAGGTATCAACATTCAATTATGAGAAGCTAGAGTTGGATTATTCTCGGTCTTCCAGTGTTGTTCTTCCTATGCCATCGTCTGATATTTTAGAGTGGAAACATTTGTTTGTGACATGTTTGAAGAAGATATTGCTTAATGTTACTTTCCTTGATGATTGGAGACCGGAGGAAATTATTTCTTGCTGTCTGCTGAACTGGACAAATCATAGGTTGATAGGCCCAAAAACTGTTTGAAGTTGAAAGAGGATAGGTAAAAATTGAAAAACCTACATTCTTCGATCATAGTAGCTCTATTTTAGAAGGTGAAGAAGAATCAAATAAGTACCTCCCTTTCCTTTCATAATCTTTGGTACTGCACCTACTTCAGAGGGCTAATATTCCATCTGCATTATCTTAATTCTATTTTGTGTTTATGTTTTATTTATTTTTCTGTTTGGAGGGAGGGGTTAGTTAACTATGGTATTGCAACTCGAATTGGTTAACATCTCATGCACACTACTAATGAATTCGGACCTGACTTTTGTTGAGCTGACATAGAGGTTTGGACAATATATTTTGACCTATAGTGCTGAGAGACCTAAACAACAGAAATGAAATCTGATTCCCAGAGAAACAAAATTAGTGGGTATGTAATTGTCTTCTGATTGCTTCATTTGCTTACTGGAAGCAGCAATATTTGAATTGCATTCTTTGACTGCTTTTAAATTGAACTACTGAGCAAGGGAATATTTGGGGTACTGAAGATTCTTAATTGATTTTGCTGTTGTTACAGTGGGAAAAAGTAATTGATCCCACCCCTTTGCCTCACATTTGTGATTGTTTCTTTGTTTCAATTCCGTGTTCTTAGAGTTTTCTTTATTGATTAATATTGAACTTCTAGGTCCATACCATATTCAATGAGGCATACACTTTTTATGGTTTGTTGCTGGAATTTGAAGCATTACTTTGATGAAAGTAAAATTTATTTCAATTTGGATTTGTGCATTGTCCATCTAAATTAAAGGTTTACCGTTGCTACTTTTGAGGGTAATTTAGTTTCACCCTGAACCTCAAAAGACGAGCAACTTTTTTGTTTCCTCACTATTTTCTTGTCCATGGAATGTTTTTGGGCTTTTGATTTGATTGGAGAATCTATAGAAGTGTTGACTATGCCAAATTCAAACAAAAACAGAATTGACTATGGACTTTAATGGAGCTAGAGAATGATGGCCTATGTTTGACATTCTTCAAACTTTCTGTATTTGATCTTTGATTAATCTAGGACTTTGCCAAGAGCCTTATTAAGCTTGTCAGTAGCATTCTTGTTTCATGTTTTGTTGATGACTTGTTCAAGTTTGGCTCACTACAGTCACTTGGCTCAACATATTTGTTGCAATATTGCTTTTTTAAAGTTCTTTGAATGCTAAATTTCCATTTTCCGTTGTACCTAAAAAAAGAATGCTAAATTTCATGCAACCTTATCTAACATACTTCGGTATGAAAGGAGCTAGCTATACACCGCCTTAGATTCAGTGGTTTCTGATTTGTTTTAGTTTAATAAAGATGGTCTACTGATTGAGCTTGTCTGAAGTTGTATGTTTCAAATCTGTTTAGATTGAGCTTGTCTGAAGCTGTTTGTTTGTTTTCTCTTTGTATTCTCAGTATTCTTGCAAGTACAGAAATTTGCTGTTTTGAATGTGAAAAGTGTGGGTGTGTTTCTCACTCGGACTGGAGAAATCCTTAGGCTTGAAAATCAGATGCAACCCTACATTACAGAAAGTGTGAGCTTAAAACTAATTCAAAATGGTTTAAAGTGCTGTGTTTGGTTTGGTAGAAATTCGCATTTTTTGGTGTTTGATACATAGAAAACCAAAGTCCATGGAAAATTAGGTTATTTGGATAAAAAATATTTTTCACTTTTAAAATGTGAAAATTATTTTTGAAGTGTTGCTGATGCCACCATACTAGTATTGTCACCACTACCATCTCTAACATGTCTATTACTACAACCACTGTCGCCATTGCATACACCACAACCACCACCACCAAAACTAATACAATCACTATCAGATTAATTTCAAGGTTGCAATCGAACATAGGAAAATATTTTCTAAGAATATCATAATGGATTTTGTAAAATATTTTTTGCTGAAACAAATGGAATATAAATTTCTATTTGTAAAAAGATGATAATCTTTCAATTGGAGCTATAGCTCAGTGGACTAGAACAATTTCGCCTCAATACGAGGTAAATGGTTCAAGTATTCTTCCCAATTTTGGTCTTGAAAAACGTCTCTATCCTTATTTTTCAATAATCAAATTTTTTTAATTTATGTTAATTATTTTATTTTATAAATTATAAAAATAATTTGTACCAAATATTTTGAGACAAACTCACAAAGGCCTCGTTTGTTTGGAGTTATAGGGAGGGGATTGGGATTGATAGTGAGGTGGGACTACTATATGGGGTGTTTGTTTTGAGAGATGTGAAGGAGACTCCTAATCCCTTGGTATTAGTAAAGGCCTTGGGCCCCGTTTGTTTCCAGAGATGAAATGGAGGGGATTGATAGTGAGGGGATTGTTTTATTATTTTATATAAAAATAATTTAATAATTTCTACACTAACAACTATCATCAAAATAAATATAATTTTACTTAATCTCTTTACTATTAATTTATTCACTATTAATCTCCTCTATTCTACCTCTGAAAACAAACGAAAAACTTGTAATACATGGCACTAATGCAAGTCAACGCCGGCCATCGCTCTACATGGGGTCACTTCCTTCTGGGTTTGGTAAATTGGTGTCACTTTTTCCATTCTTGACTTCTTTTTATTTATTCAGCTTTTTCACTTTATTTTTCCCCATAACTTCAAAATAATTGGCTCCAAACTGCAGTGGGACCTAAAATTGAATCAGAAATTTTGGGATTTAGCCCATTGGGGTTGAAGCATGACCCATGTGCCAAACTGATCTTTTTATGTGAGATCAACATCTTTGATCAAAATACAAGCAATATTGCTGTCAATGATTCAATTTGGGTAGGGTCAATATAAATTTGGGTACTCTATTAAATTTAGGGTTTAGGGTCAATACGGATATGTTGTCACTAATATATTGGTACGAGGCATATAGGGTAAGATTTATTGAATGACACATTGGTTCCGTTTACTGTAATTGTTAAAACAGATTATAAATTATGACTTTAATAAGAAATTATTAATCTATTTGGTGTAATTATTGGATTATAGATTTAAGTTACTCAGTAGTATTTGTTAAATAAGCTATGAAGCAACTTTTTCAATTAATTTTTATTTTTTGTTATTCATTACTTGTCTACATTTCTCATAAAAAATAATAGCAATAATCTATAGTTCCTTTGGGTCTTTTTCTATTTTTAAAAAAATAAAAAATAAAAAAATCTAAGAATATAACCGTAAATTATTTCCACAACAGAAGTTGATAATCAAAAGCAAAGGGTGAGTAGCTTCTCAGAATCAGCTTTTTTGAGTTAAAATAAATTATTAGAATAAGAAATTGTTTGAAATAAATTTAACCAAACAGTCCAAAATAGTTTTTTTAAAGCTAAAAGTTATAAGTTGACTAAAAAAACCCAAACAAACACCCCTATTAGATGTTAAAAGCACCCTATAAAAAGTGAACATTTTTAATAAAATATTTTGATGGTATATAAAAGTTTTTTGAGAAGCTGGTAAAAAGTCAGCTTCCAGTTTTTTATCAATTTTAAGTCACATCACCTCTCACATAATTTACTTACAAAAAGATAAAATAAACTAAAAAAAAATAAAAAATTAACTTTTTACCAACTTTTCAAAACTCCCATAGTAATTTAGTGCACGCACAATAATTTACTTAACGTGTGGTGCACACACTCAATTATTAAAAATATTACACAAATAATTTAACATAATACTTTAAAAATATTATCGAAAGACTGAGGCTTTGTTTGGAAATGCAGTAAACAAGTGCATTTATTTGGATTGTGTTATATTTTTTATTTTTTTATGTATTTTTTTGTTTGTAAAAAGTCAAAAAAAAATGCACTTAGCAAATTCTAAAGCACTCGTTTGGCAAGAAAGTTAGAGCGGCTACCAGGTTAAAATAGTCACAAAAGATAAAATAATTTAAAAAATTAATAAAGTAAAATGTTATATTTAAATCATAATCAAATTTTTTTTTTTCCATAAAAGTTAAAAATGTCAAAAAAACTTATCCTAAATAATTTTTTTTTAATTCCAAACTAAAATAATTAAAAAATCAAAAAAAGTTAACTTACATCCAAACGAAGCTCAAATAACTTAAAAGAAACTATATAACAATAATGGGGCATCAAATTCTTCCCAGTTGCGGACTGTGAGCTTTGACGTCAGACGTGTCACAGACTCATAGTACACTGCAAAAAAATTTGGACCAGTGAACAACATGTGTTGGCAGACACTACCTTAATTAATAGCGTTCGAATTCTCTAGAGTTTTTTTCCCTAAAGTGATCTCTAGAGTGGTTCAATGTGGTGTGACACCTGTCCCACTTAAGTAACCAAGGGTTGAGATCAATTCCTCTTAATGAAATTCAAAAAAAAAAAAGTCTTCCTTCAGTTTCAGTTTCAGTTTCAGTTTCAGAACGAAACTGTAAGTGAGAGAGGGAAGAGGAGGAGGAGGAGGATGAGAGAAAGGAGGGGTTGAGCAGGAAACCAAGAGTTTGCCACCAAGCTTTTCATTTTTCTGTGGATTTGATTTCAATTTTTCAAATCTGGGTTTGATGTCAAACAAATTGATGACTCAAATTTTTTTTGTTTAAAACATAAAATCAAAAGCAATTAATCTGGCCCCTTTCCACCTCTCTCTCTTCTTCCTCTTCCTTCTTCTTTCCTTCTCATGCCGCCGGCCGGCCGCCGCTCCTCTTCTTGCCTCCAACTTAGCTAGCAATTCTCACTTTTGAAGGAACTGTATATCAAGAGATCACTTGAGGGTTTTCCTGTCCCAAAAATCTCCGAGAAAAAAGCTGCAATAATCTCCACCACCATCATCAACAATTAGCAATCTCTTCAGAGAGAGAGAGAGAGAGAGAGAATTAAAAAAAAAAAATGCAAAATTGAAGACCACCCATTTCACCACTGGGTTGGAATCCAGGTAGTAGCTTGGCTTCTGCTATGGATTGTTAGTCACAACTGAGG